TAATGGCATCTTCAACTGCTATTGGCCAGGTGGAAGAGATGATGTGATTGTTATCAACGTGTAAGCAAGCAGTCTTTGCTGGTCATGTATCACCTCAATTGAGCTATCTGCATTTTGCTAAAACACATTTTGAGTTTGCCATTTAAAAGACCTTCAACAATTATACTGTAATTCAGCATTGAAATGAAAAGTTAATTTGTATGCAGAAATGCATGAAAACAAAGTAGAGGGGACTACATTTGATTTTAGTGATACAAATTTTCTTTTTGTTCTGGGGAAATAATCACAGTTTTATATTTTCTTAGGAAGCGATGCTTTATAGAACCAAGAAGGTAGACAAGAAGTAGATGAAGAATGCTGTGTTTGTTACCAAGAAATGTGTAAAAGGATTGCCTATCACAGGTCAGTAAGGCAACTGAAGGCAAGTAATTTGATCCTGGGCCAATTAAACAGGGACAAGAAAGGCTGAGGGCTATGCTGGGGAGGTGAGGCCAACTCATGTGCGTGCAGTCTGATCCAGTCTGGTCCTGCTAAAACAAAGGGTAGGAAAAACTGAGAAGGCCCCACATGGTGCCTAGAACTCTCCAGCTGTTCCTCTCAATGGCCAAAGCAGCTCTGAGTGACAGGAGGAGGAGTGCTGTGGGTGAGAGGGTGCCAGTGGGCAAGTATGGTGCTACCACTTAATTAGTATATTTGTTATCTAGAACTTGCCGGTGAGCCCCTATGCCTCCCACACTCCTGGCCCACAGTAGCATACTCAGCCCTGTGTGTCGCCCGTGATCCCGAGGCCTCCTACAATTTCCTATGTCTCCCATAAGCTCCATGCCTCCTACCTCCTTTGTGTCTCCCCCAGTTCCGTTTTTCCCATGATCCCCTGTGCCTCCCATAATTCCCTGTGTCTCCCATGAGCCCCTGTGCCTCCTACCTCCTCTGTGCCTTCCACAGTTCCCTGTGCCCACTGCAGATGCTCCATATCCTTTGTGCTCCCATGATCCTCAGTGCTTCCCACTATCTCCTGTGCCCACAAGTAGCAGATAGTGTCCCCTAAGTACCACGTTGGGTCTACTGGTTCTCCATGGCTGGTGGAAAATTATCCCTTCTCTTCAGCCTGGTTGCCAATGAACATGTGGGCCTGTGCTAGTGAACCCCAGGGCCTGGCCTAAGCTCAGAAGCAGGTCTTAGGGCTGCCTTCCTCAGAGCACTGGCTGGGGTGCTCTGTCTGGGACCCCTGCTGTGAGCCTGAAATCCTAGCTCTACCATTTACTGCAGTGTTTGTGTGTGGATTACCTTAAACCCAGTCTTAGTAAGTGATTCTAAGGTCCTATCTCCCCAGTCTCATCCTGAGCTCCTCCAGGCCTTGCTCCTTGTCTGATGGGAGCAGTCTTGTCAGTGCAAACACCACTGGACTGGGATTGTCTTAACCATGCAAATCCCCTGGCCTGACATTTGAACCTTAAGGGGTGATACAGACATGGAGATGGGGCAAAGTAGAAGAGGAACAAAGGGGACAGCATGACACTGTATGACATTAAGACCACAGATCCAAGAACTAGTTTGGCATCTGACTTGGTAAATTTTGGGGGAATCTGTGGCTGTGCACTAGAGAACACACTTTGCACCAATTCCCTGCTCCACCCAACTCTAAAGCCAAATGGAACAGGAAGCAGCTGCTCCCAGGACAGAAAGCAAATACTTTTATTCAATGTTTAAAAAACTCTTCACACTGAACATTGTTTTAATTCAGGGTAAATCTTGGGTTGATTCTTTCAATAGCTAAGTGTGCCAGGTAGGGGACATTGAAGAGAAAATGATGAGAGTAGAGAAAGTTTAGTTGGAAGATGCTAGTGGACAGACCTGGAGTGGGGGACCCAGGTCAGAGGGGATGCTATAAATGCCTTCCTGTGCAAGACAATGGAAGTAAGGAGAAGGGGGCAGGGGACAAAGAGATAAGGGTAAGAGAGTGACCTTCACCAAAAGGTGGGTGAGTATGTCCTTAGAGAGCTCTCTGTCAAAGTGAGGACTATGAGAGATTGATGCACAAGCGCCAATGCTTAAGAGAAACAACCAAGATTTGCAGCTGACTTCCTCAGCCTAACACTGGACTTAGAGGCAAGAACATTATTGCAGTGACAAAATGGCCCAGAATTTCCTGACTAGCCTCATTTCAAGAACACCATGCAAAGATGTATGTTGCTTTGTGAACTATTTCACATAGCTGACCTAGGCCTTCAAGAAAATTATAGGAGACCCCATCTATAAAAAAATAGAAAAATTAGCCAGGCATGGTGGTGAACACCTATAGTCCCAGCTACTCAAAGGGCAGAGGCAAGAGGATCATTTGAGCCCAGGAGTTTGAAGTTGCAGTGATATATGATGACACCACTAAACTCTAGCCTGGGTGACATAGCAAGACTCTGTCAGAAAGAGAAGGGAAAGGAAGGAAGTCAAGGGAGAGAAGGAAGGGAGGGAAGGGAAGGGAGGGAGGAAGGAAGGAAAGAAGGAAGGAAAGAAAGAGGGGAGGAAGGGAGAGAGGGAAGGGAAGGAAATTATAGCAGAGATCATCTATCTGGGATTTGAGATTACTGAGTATGTGGCTCTTCTAACCCTTAACAATCTAGACCACTTGGAGATTATCCTGAGAAGCCTCCTGGTCTCCCTGGGAAGGCTGGTGTGGGAAAAGATAATTCTGTGACACTAGTCCAAGTCCTAGGAGGCAGCTACCTAGGAAAGAGTATGAACAAATAAATGAATGCATCAACTAAGTCCTTTATGTGGCATGTCACAAAATGACTTTGTTTTCTCCAAATGAAGTCTCTGATGATGGCTTAGGCTGTGCAGTTGAGTTTTTGTAAAGCCACAGTGAGTTAGAGAAGAGCTGGGATTGCCCCTCGCTCCAGAGGATCTGTGATCTGGGACTCAACCTTTGGCCTGGGTGTTGGCTCTCCTTGCATGAAGAATTCCCTGTTCACAAGGCTCCTCTCCCTTCTCTTGCTTCTGAGAGGAAGCCCAGACTTTTGCCCCTGCAGGGGGTTCCCAGGGTCCTACAGGCTCCGGCACAGGCCTGCTGTCTCCCTGCACATTACTGTGTTCACTTGGTAACCCTGCCCCTGCCCACTGCCATTTCCCTACATCCAACTTTGTTTCTCTCTGTTCATTATTAAAGCCTAATTCCTCTCCCTGGAGGTTTCAGAGCAAATGAACTCAACTTTGCTACACAGAGCGGAAACCAGAGTCTAAGAAATATGAAGTATCTTGTCTAAAGGCAAAAATTCAAATGGCAAAGAAAGTCTCTTGGCCAAAAGACACCTGCTTTGGCTGACTAGGAGAAGCTGATGAAAATGACTTGAATGACAGTGAGATGAGATCTAAGAGTGGGACAGGTTTTGTCTTGCCCTTTGAGAGGATGATGTCTACATGGGGGAACCCCAGGAATTTGTTTCACTTTTAAAGAGAAAAACGAACAATGATTCTGAAAAGAAATAGAATTGCCTTAAACAAGAGAAAAAAACTTAATGTACAAAGTGAGGTCCCACAGGCAATGCCAACACCAAAGTGCCAGTAAGTCGACCTTAAAAAAAATCTCGGCTCGGCGCCTATGGCTCAAGCGGCTAAGGCGCCAGCCACATACACCTAAGGTGGTGGGTTCGAATCCAGCCCACGGCCCCGCCAAACAAAAATGATAGCTGCAACTAAAAAA